CATCACTATAAGAGATTAGAGTATACTAAACTTTACACATTATATAGGCTACACTAACGTGACGTTTAGGCGGTTCGTTTATCTATTATACGTGATGTTCGTTTTCTTGGGGGTGGTTAATGAAAGTGTTCCAAAACGTGACATTAATATCTTGACGACCTAATATATGTATGTATATATATTAATTGTATCTTATATAATTCACTTCGTTATCGCATGAGTTACCACTTTTGTATCCTGTACTTCCAGAAATCGTCTGCTTTTTTCGTGCTTCCAAATAATCGTCTACTTTTTCGTCAAACTCCAAATAGGCAGGTTCAATTAACTTAGAAAAGGAAAAACACCGAAATTGTCGAAGTAGAATAGTTATCGAAACGATTAGTAATCTGGCGAAGAAGGAACAGAAGGCAAAAGGGTCGAAGCAGTAAATGAGATGGAGACTGGAAGGGCAGAAGAAGCAAGAACATCCCCAAACTTCGGTGACACAGCAGGAGCATAAGACACACAAACGTCTATTTCACGTTGAAGATGGAAAATAAATTCTTTTAAAACTAAAGACCGAGTTAATGAGACTTAAAACTCCTTAACTATTATACACACACATCAATCACCATCATAAAAGATCTTACTTTATATCTTTGGTTCACTGACTTAAGTTATCTGATGAGTCTTGAGGAGAAAAAACTGGATGAATTGCGGTGAATCAAAAAATAAATTAGGGCACATAATATATTATTACTTTTACTCTTGGTTAAAAGAAAAGAAATCCGTAATATAATCATCAACAGACCCGTTCATTTAGAAAGAAGAAACTTTGTATTTACGATTTTTCACTCTATAACCTATTATGACGTATGTTTCATTTGTTTATTAGTAAAACTTTAATTATTATTAATTTATTCGATTTTTAAAGACGAGGAAAATTTTCTTTACTTCTTAATTTACTGTATTATTGAATTCTAGATATTTTTAGTAAACTGTCAAAGAAGGTAGTTTTTATTTCAAATTTACTTATTATGCGCTAGAAAGGCTTATAAACTTTTATATTAGTTTCCTTTACTACATTGAAATGTTTAATCACTTTTAAAGTAACTGCATTCACATATTCTTTATTTTATTAAACGTTTCTAAAAACCGAAAGTTGTTTACAATCACCAGTTAAACGTGTTACAGATTAAAATCAGCATATATGAAAAGTTTTTTGTTGTGTTTTCAATTTGTTTGATGCTCTTTAGCTAAATATTCTAGGTGAATACACACGCTGCGTGGTTTGTATTGCTATTTGTCGATAAGAACGGAAGATGGCGCTGTGTGATGAACCAACAGAACCTGCTCAGCCGAAAAGTAATCACAATACTGGTGCGCAGTGGCTTTTGATCGATTTTGGTTCTGTTGGGTGCAGAGTTCCTTCTACGGTTGTCATATATGTATAACTGTTTCTATGGGTAAGAGATTAGAAGTTGTTTGAAAACGGGCCTAAATTTTCTATATCGATTCAACTTTTTAGGTGTTGAGATTCTTTGACTGTGTGTTTTATTGGGCAGGAGCCTGGACACCGGGACGATTCGGTTAGTCCTGGCTCAAAGTGCACAGCTGGAAGAACCAGCTATGCGTCATTCTAAACTTGCTTGTGAAATCAAGAAGAACTCGACTTTCCAAATGTTTCCTTACTATTACTTCTAATAAGACAAGACGCTCACTGACTATCTGTGCCTTTCCAGCAACACTCGGATGTTCTACCCTCAAGCTTGAGTGGGAGAGAAACTCTCCAAGATGGAGATGCTTATAAACCTTCTCTTCTTCCCGCTGCTTCTGTGTGGAGGAGCAACTGGGGATGAATATATTGTTCCTTCTCCTAAGCCAGGGTAAGATGTTATTTAAATTCTTCCTTTAAAAATACCAATTCAAAAACAGAAATACTTTTTTCTTCTTTGATTTGAGATTAAAGCTAAAGAAAAAAGATATTCATAAAATCATCACCAGACGTTATGCTCAATAACGGAAAAATTGTTGATAAAAAAAAACAATACTGTATTTTCTTTATCTAAAATTAACAGAAGGTTGTTGAAAAACCAATACTGTATTTTCGTTATGTGAAATAACAGAAGCGTTGTTGAAAAAAACAATATTGTATTTTCTTTATCAGAAATAACAGAAGATTTGTTGAAAAAAATACTGTATTTTCTTTATGTGAAATAACAGAAGTGTTGTTGAAAAAACAATACTGTATTTTCTTTATCAGAAATAACAGAAGATTTGTTGAAAAAAAATACTGTATTTTCTTTATGTGAAATAACAGAAGCATGGTTGAAAAAAAACAACCTTCTGTTAATTTTACATAAAGAAAATACAGTATTGTTTTTTCAACAACTCTTCTGTAATTTCTGATAAAGAAAATACAGTATTGGGATAAACAAACAATACTGTATTTTCATTATCTGAAATAACAGAAGAGTTGTTGAAAAAACAATACTGTATTTTCTTTATCAGAAATAACAGAAGATTTGTTGAAAAAAAAATACTGTATTTTCTTTATGTGAAATAACAGAAGCATGGTTGAAAAAACAATACTGTATTTTCTTTATCAGAAATAACAGAAGATTTGTTGAAAAAAAAATACTGTATTTTCTTTATGTGAAATAACAGAAGCATGGTTGAAAAAACAATACTGTATTTTCTTTATCAGAAATTACAGAAGAGTTGTTGAAAAACAATACTGTATTTTCTTTATGTAAAATTAACAGAAGGTTGTTGATAAACAAACAATACTGTATTTTCATTATCTGAAATAACAGAAGAGTTGTTGAAAAAACAATACTGTATTTTCTTTATGTGAAATAACAGAAGAGTTGTTGAAAAACACAATACTGTATTTTATTTATGTGAAATAACAGAAGAGTTGTTGAAAAAACACAATACTGTATTTTCTTTATGTGAAATAACAGAAGAGTTGTTGAAAAAACACAATACTGTATTTTCTTCATTGTTATAGGGACAGCACTATCAACATAACCAAAATTTTGAATGAATTTTTTCAACAAGGCTACGACAAGAGAGTGAGGCCAAACTATGGAAGTAAGTACTACTTTTCTTGCTCTTGGTCATAGTTTAAACAAAGTATTAGGAGAACTACTGATTGTGTGAAGACAACTTGATATTTTTTATTTGTTATGCCGTAGAAAAACTATTTTTTATTTTAATTTTAAAAAAAATTCAGTAAACTTTAGATATTTATCTATAATTTTTTAACATTCTAAGTAAATTAGAGATACAAAACAAATGTCAGTTGTGTCAAGACTCTGAGGACAAAGAAAAACTGAGGATATTTTAAATTAAGAAAGTAGAGAATAGTGGCGTTACTACAACATATTCAATATAATTTAGTTAATTACATATATCTTGATATCGTTTCCAGAAATAAATTATTATATTTTGAGTCTTTAAAAGACTTCGTAACTAAGAAATGAATACACGTTTGAAAATTGTACTTACTACAATTCCACCCAGAGTTATACGTACATTAGTATATATGATTGTGTGTTAAAACATCAGAACATCTGACTAACCAAACAAAGTTCAGAGCTGTAGGACAACTAGAACCAAGTTTACTATAACTCTTCACGGGGAAAACAAACTGTCCTTTGTTTTCCTTGATAAAAAATAAACTACTGAAGAAAAACACAAGAGACAATCGACTTTTTAATGTATTTCGTCTTTTAACTACTTTGATGAGCTATTTCTTTCATAGCGTTCATTAGTTTTCCAACATGCTGATAAATAAGATTTGAATCTGCAACTGTTAACCCAGGCTACGAAAACCTTCGGTTCATACTTAGGGTAGAAGTTTAGTTAGGCTAGTTTGATTCTGTATTGTGACAAGGTCATTAAGATATAATGAAATATATGGTCTAGGATTAAAATATAAATTATATGCAGTTTGCAACAGCATTCTCTATTCTTAACAACAAAGTTTCCTGTTGCATATAAATTAACCCTAAACCATAAGTCAATGATGTTTCATCATCTTATGATATTCTCGTCTCAATAGTAAAACCAAATACGTGTTTTCCTCATAACTGCTGATTTCTAAGAGACATTTGACATTCTTCATTCTTTCAAAACATCAAAATGTTGTCTTCTGCAACCTACGACAACTTGCATGCAAAATCAAAATGTTGTCCTCTGCAACTTTAGACAACGTACATTCATCATCAAATGTTGTCCTCTGCAACCTACGACAA